AAAAAAATAAAATAAAATACATATAAATATATATATATATATATATATATATATATATATATATATATAGTAAAATAACAAAATTAGCAGGTGCGAGCATAGCTTAATGCATGTCATTATGTTCAAGTCAACTGATAGCCAAGGAATAATAACGTGTAATCAAATAAAAAGTTTAATTTAACAATAGTTTTATTAGAGTTACAAATTTTTATTTACAATTGATGATTTATATAAAATTATTGTTTTAGAGATTGTATAGCATTGTTTTTGCAAGTTAATTATTATTATTTAATAATTAACGAACATTAAAATTAAATCATAGTTTATTAAAGCAGAATTTTTCAGTTCTTAACAACTCTCCTGCAAGTTTATTTATTTTCAAGTACAAGTTCATTTTCATTTGATATTAAATAATTTTATTAATATTAATTTACGTCGAAGCATATTATTCTTTTACACTTATGCAATATTATATGAAATAATATGTAGACTGGATTGTTCATATCTTATTATCTAGTGGATATCAAATTCGAATGCTATAGATAATCCAAAGTGAGTAAAAAATAAAATTTTTGTAAATTTATATGTTGATTTTATACGGAAAATGATTTATAAGTGGTGAGCGAAATAACATGGCGAACAGTATTTCTTTATAATGAACGTTCTTAGTCTTGATGTATAAGAGTTATTAGCTGTCAAAATTTAATTAATTTTTATGAATTAAGAACATTTTGTAATGGATTTCATTTAATAATGAAAAACTTTATTTTATACTATGCACGAAAAATTAAAAGGTTAAAGAAATTTGTTTAGAAAGTTTAATGTGGATTAAAATGTTGGAATCACATAGTTTAGAAATATCTTTTATATTTTGTATAATTTAAAAATCAATGCTTAAAGGTAATAATTCAAATTACAGTAGAAAATGTTAACTACGCGTTATATTTGATTATCATGTTCGTTGTTCTTCAACCGCACGAGTAATACACGTGAAAGATTAATTGAAGGCTATTTTTGAATTGACTATGATTTATGACGTTTCACTGTATTCCTTTATTATTGTATTATATTGTATATTATTACGTACTGTAGGAAATTATATTTATTATAATCGATAATTGTCAAGATTTTATTATGTTTCAAAGTTTTAAATATTAGTATTCTAAGCATTTGGTGTCTCGATCGACAGTTCAGTAAATCAAAAAATTCCCTCCTAATTAACTTTATCTTTATATTTATTATAAATAATTTGCTGAAATCCAGGCAATGGAGGTGCCTCGAAATATTTAATGTTAGTAGGCAATTTTTATCGATTATCAACTTAAATATGAGTAAATTTTGCAATCTTTAAGAACAGTTTGCTTTCTGAAAAATTGATAATTATTTGGAACTACTACTGGGCATTAACTTTAACGAAGAAGTTGTACTGAAACGCGAGAAATCTTTTGAAATTTAAAGCAATTTCGAATCGCGTGACATGCGAGGTATAAAATAAATTTGGATATTTATTACTTTTATAGCAGTGTTTCTTATAATAGTTGTCGCATAGGGATATAGTTACTTTTACATAAATTCGAATGGCTATTATTTCACGTATGAGTTCGTACGGTAAACGAAGAATTTTGATAGGAATAATTTTAATTAATAGAGTGTTCCACACTTCTAATTAGAACCAATTAAGCTGACTTTCTCTATCGTAATATTGTTATTTAAAAAATTTTCTCTCATTGTTCGAGGCACGAGAAAACAAAAAACAAAACAAAACAAAAAAAAAGAAAAAAGAAAAAAAGAAAGTAAAGAAAAAAAGAAATAGAAAAGAATAAAAATAATAATAAAGCCAAGTCCAACGAGTATATTTCTTCGTTGACCTAGTCAACGGGAAAACTTTAATTAAGCCGAATACAGCCGAAGATATACAGAAACAGGAAAGATGCATAAACAGCATTCGAGCTTAATTTGGAAAGCATTCGCTCGATCATCTCATTTTAATAAAAGCCGAAGCTGGCCAAAGTTCTGCTGGCGTAATAGACTGCATTTGTCGGTGCCCCCTCGGGTATTTTCTTACAACGCTATTATCGCAAAAAGCACCGGCGATAACTTGCACGCTTAGACAAGTAGCGCAGAGGCATTGTATGCGCGGATTATACATACGGAGCGCATTTTATCAATAGCGCGAATATTTGTTTGCTCGTGGATCGATTTATTTAAAACAATTCAGCCTCCGTGGCGCAATCGGCTAGCGCGTTCGGCTGTTAACCGAAAGGTTGGTGGTTCGAGCCCACCCGGGGGCGGGGAGAATTAACTTTTTTTACCCCGAATATTTAAGTATTTCAATGCCACTTCCGTCGATTCATGAGAAATATCTATTTTGCTTGTTTGTGCACTCGGCCCGCAATTGTACAAAACAACTGGAAATGATGACGTAGTGTCCCGTGTGCTCGCTCGCGTGCTTTAGGGGCATTTATTTATCGCTTATGTAAGAAGTTCGTTTCAAATATGTAATAAGGGCTTTTTTCTCGTTGATCGATGTTCGGGAATGTTTCTTTTTTGAAAATTTGTTAACCTTTTATTCTCCAGCGAATTTCGCCATAAGGAAGCTATGAATTATGAAAAAATGCCAGATCGCCGTATATTTCAAGTTAGTTAAGGGTGCGATCGCAAATTGTGTGGCTATCAATTAATACAGACAAAATCATTAGCAAATCATCGCTCTTATTGTATGCTTCGTTGTGTGTACGTCTGATCCTTAAAATTTACCAGGCCGTAATTGACGTGGACAGAAATGAATTCTTACTCGATGGAAAGGTGACTGGCGTCAATGGTGACGAACTAGCATAATTAAAGAGTCGTGGGTCGTGGGCTAAGGATGATCGAGACAGGCCGGGTCAGGTCAAACAGGTCATAATGGCCAGGACACTAGGGAGGATTGACGAAGGGTCGACGGGCCGTTATAGGTAATGTAGCGGTCAATGAATATGGGCTTATCGCTGCAGCCGGGATGAGAGTCCTGACTCCATTCTGTTATTGAGCTTGATGGTCGAGGTCGGCATTCTAGTTCTACCGAGCTATCGATTCGATTCAACGGTACGAAGACTTTAGGGGTAGTACACCCCCCCCCCCTTTTTACTTTACACGCGGACGTATAAAGTTATTCGGTTTACATAAATGCTTATTCATTGCCGAGACTCGGCGTGCCTCCGTAAAATCCGACCATCTTCTCGAACGGTTGCTTTTTGCATTTTGCCGTTGTAAAAGCACAGGGAATAATTAATTCTTCTTCTTCGGCAGCGTTCGCTAAGCGTCTGCCAACGCGTCTCGAAGATTTCGAACGTCCAATCGTGAATAGTTGAACAAAGAGAGTAGCGCAACTCGAAATAGACATAAATCGAATAGAAATGCATTTGAATGAGAGTAATGTTGATTAATGGGTGGGAAAAAAAATAATTTTTTATTTTTAATTTTCTATTTTATTATGAGCGATATGAATTATGCGTCAGTTTTAAAATCAGTTTTAGAGGCATTAAGGTAATAAAGAAAAATTTCA